CCACCCAAAAAAAAAAACAATGGCTCGGTACGATTCACCTGCACTGCTCAACTCGGAATTCGGTTCACATAGGTTCACAACTTTACTATCCTTCACTATCACTGATTCACCCCTGCGCTCATACCCGTTTGCTCTCCGCACCCGCCTCCACTCCCGATCCCCGCGATATTCTCCCAACGATACTGTGCCCCGCCGCCTGATCGCAAACTTTCAACGCCTTCTCGAATGAACAGAGTAACAAACACCGGCTGCATACATCCATTAGAGCAAACCGCACTGCGACCGCGCGCTCAGTTTGCTTGTAGTAAGTGCACGACAAATCCAACAGAGCTAACGAAATGACTCACTTTTTGCTGACTTCTTCTAACCGTTCTGTTGGTACACCAGAAAATGACAGTTGTAATAAGGCATGTAGTCTAGAAAACCATCATTTCTGGGGGTTATTGCTATCGTGTTCAACAAAATGGTAACGGAATCAAACCTGTTCGGTGACGTGGAAGCTAACTTGACTCGCCAAAGGCTTTTCAATCAGTACGAATTCTCGTTGTAATGGAGATACGGGAGTATTTGACATATAATCGAATAATATATCGAAAGCAACTTTTTGCTTGAAATCCGTTGGACGGTGACCGAACCTAAAAGGACGCGTTCTGTTCTTTCTGTAGAACGACAATGACAGAAAGAAAACGGCGAAGATCAGCATGGATGAAGGGCCCATTCATGTTACTGGAAAGTCCACGGTACGCTAGTAGGCGCAGTCAAGATTCCCATCTTAGGCAGCGTTCAGACTTCGCGATGACACACGCCTACGCGCTCTAATTGCTCTGTAGCGCGACACAATTGCAACAGCGCCCCAAGGTATAAATGCGAACGCAACTGCATGCGAGAATCGATCGGAGTGCCGCTTGTGTATTGAGAGAGCAGGGCGCAACAGTAGGGTACGCGGCGTCGACGCACATTACAGCGCGTCGTCGCGAAGTCTGAACGCTGCACAACCTCTTGCCGTGGGGTGTAATCGTCCACAAGAGAGATGGGAAAAATACATAGAACATTGACGGAAAGGGTAGCGAGGGAGGCAGAACAGGAAGGGAAGGACTCCAGCCATGCGTACAAGGCTGCTTATGCCCCTCCCGCTGCGCCTCTCCGAGAGGAAAGAAAAAATCGTTAATTGCAAATTATGAGAAATCTCACCAACTGTGAGTCAAACTTCCTCTGCCGGATTCATGATCACTTGGGCCCTACAACGCTCTGCTCGCTTGATTCTGCCATCCGGCTTTGCGAGACCTGATGGGAAATATAATGGTCGTTGAATGATGCCCGTGTATGTCCGCCAGTGGCTCGTTAGAGCAACAAGTGGTGTGATAGATAAAATTGTACGCAGAAGGAGAATATTGCTTTGTAACTTCGCTCGGTTAGTTCATCATATCTCTTCAGCAACCTTTCATGATTAACTCGCCCTGCCACTGTGACCATCATCATATTCGATAAGTGATAATATTTCTTGTGGAAATCGCGAACCTTAAAAATATTTAAAAATTCTAATAAGGCGTAAAATAGATAATTAGGTCATATTCTTACCTTTTCCAAATTACACGTCGTCCTAAGACTCGGCAATCGCCCACCCGTGTCGACACGATATGAATTGTTGGGAGGGTACAGAATCTCCTTCTTCTTTCTCAAAACAAATCACACTCGAAAATGAACTTAACATGCTTAACAGTAAGAGTACCCGCCTATCCATTATGCATGACATTTCCGATTCATGATCTTGCATTTCACTGTAGACCACACCAGCATCTTCACCTTTACCATTAATGTGATGGACTTCAGTAGCGAATTGAGATGGCTTAAATGGAATAGAAGCAATTAACGACAAAAAACAGACAGAATAATTACTTTAAAGAAACGGTGCACGATGTAAGATGACGGAGTGCTCACATATGAAGCATGCGGTCAAAGGTGGGCATGGCCGTTATGCAAATAAGGCCGTTACGAAAATAGCAAAAGAAACCGTCAAGAATGTCCCCAATAGGGTCCCTTACACTTCTAACATGGCACGAGTTGCCCGCGCACGGACGCGTTTTCCAGTCTGCAAGCCTCATAACAGTTAATCGATAGCCAGCTCTTGCACCTCCAAAACAGCAATAATCTTACCCTCACACTCTACAGTATTGGTTTTCCATTTTTCTTTCCTTTTCTTATTTGCTCGTTCCCTCCTAGGACCCCGGGACAGCTGAAATGATCCAACAATGTCGCCATTTTCCACCGCGTGGCAACGACGCACGCGAACGAGCATCAGGAGCGCACACCATGTGCTCGATTACATTGCATAAAAAAATCATATAAAAATGCACACTTACCGACAACATAGGAGAAAGAAGATGATTGAGGTAGACCGGTAACACTTTGAAGAACCCTTCACTACCAACCTATAAGTTCACTACATTGATTAAAGACAGAATCAGATAGGCCGCGTTCATACTTTGCGACTCGGCGTTTTAGGAGAATCGGCGTCTCTAGGGAATCAACGTTTCGAGCGAATCGGCGTTTTGAGCGAAAAGCGTAATACGAGTCGGCCGGGGTCTAAAACACTGATCAAAAAAAGGCTTGCGACCCTCCCGAAACGCTAGCGATCGGTGCCAATCGATAACTATGTTATTCTTTTCACTCAGGACACCGATTTTCCCATAACAATAAGTCGCAAGTCAAAGTATGAACGCAGCTTATACGTTTGTATTCCCTAATCAGTAAGAAGAAAATTACTGTGCTCAGTGTGTACGCTGTGTGATCCTGATCGGTCCATGCGTTTGTACCGCTGGCCAGGCAACGGTTTGCAATGACGTCCAATACACCTTTGTATGGATATTTCTTGCTGCCCATAAATACCAAATGCTCCAACGTGTGAGGTAGGCCATCATCACAATCCGTCTCGGTCACTAAAGTTAAGCGGAAATGAAGATCTAAGGGTTCATCCAAGAAAATCTGGCGCGCTTCGGCTAGGACGGGCATTTTGCACTTTCGCTGTTTTCCGCTGTTGTGAACGTTGCTCTATAAGAGTTGACAGATATTCTTTACCAGTTTCCACAAACTTTTACTGGTTTCACTTCATCGCTCCATAAGATTTCACAAATCTCTGCTTGATGGCTCGATGCGACTAGAAGCAACGAAGGCAAAATGCCTCACCCCCAACCGAACTGCGCCGGAAAACTGTATAGAAAAGGTTCAAAAAACAAAATATTCCAGAAATCGGTTGGAGCAATAAAGGACAGGACTCACCAAATGAAATACACCCTTTCACCAGAGGGCCAGGCACATCACCGATTGCAACAACTAATCGACTACGAGTCGAACGGTACAAAGAGACGGCAATGGTGCCGTTCATCAGCACCTCCGATTTCCTCCAAAATCGAGACATCATCTGAAAAAAATAAAAAGATATTTGACAAATGTAGCTGCAACACCTTGCAAGAATACTCCAAGACACGTACTGAAATAAAATGCATAAAAAATGATATGAGGCACAGTGAGAAGCCACTTCAAAGGACTCGCCTCAGCCTATGGTGGAAAGCCTGCTGAATAAGGCTATTCAAAGACACGCTCCCTTTTTAAAAATGTTGAGCTGTGCATCTCAAATACTAATGACAACATGGTAGATAACACAAATATGAAGAAAATAGCGGAAAAGCCAGCTCGAAATGCCTCATTTAGAACCCCATGCTGCGCTTGTGTGTGCTAAGGCGAAGAAAGGGCGTGGTCGGACGAGTTTTCATTTGTTCAACTCTTTCCCTCATCACCTCACTCTCACCATTCGAAATTGCGAGAGCTAGTAGCGGAACAACCCTACCGCCACAAAGCCTTCAGATTATACATCACGAAGCCTCCAGACCAGATCGCTGACTCTCCCCAATCCCCAGATCAATTCCTATGCTTTCCACGTCGCGTGATCGATGAGCCTCCCCAATCGCAGAATCGCGCCAGTCGCAAAGTATGGAGGCGACCTGGCGTGTCAATGACCCTTCGTCTATTTCTTAACAAGTAAAACACAGGATCGCAAACGTGTGCCACAGCAGCGCCCAAAGGTTTTTTAGTCACAAGGAAGGAAACTGTCAAGCTTCCACATCAAAATAACAAAATTTTTTTCAAGCGAAGTGCAGATACTACACCAGAACCGGTTACTACTATTAAATAACTCTATGGAAAAATAGATGAATCTTTATTATTTACTATACAATATGCGCAAAGGCAAGTGAAATGACTACAAATAGTTATCACCACGCCGCGACTCGTGAAAAGGTGCAATCAACATCTCAGCGATATGAACGAAAGGCTTCCAAGCTATCACAATTAAGGCCATAAGACAAAAGTAAAGCCTCCTGCAGCCTCAAACCAGTTAACAAAAAGCAGGGCAAAGAAACCGCAGGCTATCACAATTCCCTATATACAAACACAGTTTGCACAAAGAGATGAAAACTTTAATGGGCAACATTCATATGTAAAATAAGTAGAATTCGCTTAAGGAAATCCTCACTAACAATAAGACGGTGGGAAAAATACCCAAAACATACGTGGCAATGAGTCATTGGTAGGAATCCTTAAAGAATTCCTGCCGCCATTCTCAGCGTCTTCGTAATGTATAGCGAATGGTTAACTACCGATCGATTCCATAAAAAGACGTGTGACGAATTCACAATCACTATCTTTCGGCCGCTATTGCTGAGTAAAACATTGCCTAAAAGTGAATATGAAGTAGGCTTTGGACCGCACATCGCCGTTTTGAGATGATTGTCATCATGTCTTCAAAGAGCACAAAATAGTTTTCTCAAATGAAAGTATCTCGAGAGTAACACATCCTACGCCATGTTCAAATGAAGTACGCAGTTACGCCCTCTCCTCTTCCGGGATATGGAGTGTATTTCAGCAGTCAAGAAAGGGTACAGCATAGTTGTAATGGTCGTTTCATTAATGGTCCCCAGTTCCCAGCCAGCCCTGCGCAATGTACATTTAGTCGGCTGATAATTACAAAGCGAGGATGGAGGTAAGCAGTCACCTCGGTTCGCGTCAAAGGCCGGATGAAATGTGCTAGCACAAAATGAAAGCGCTAAAAGCACTAACCTGTGGCTGCACAAACAGATCTCCACAGCTGCAAATCCGTGCTAGAACGACTTCACCAATTGTCCCACTTTAGCGTAGGCATCTTTGTCCGAGTGTGACTTCATGAACACCAGCTGTAACGTTTCCCGGTCGCGTCGATCAAACGCCATTTTCGCTGCGGCCACAAAATTACTGAAAAGAAAAACATCAATCATCCGTCTGGGCAGCCAATTTTCATTAATTAAGACACCTTCCGCGCTTGCGAGACGTGTGCAGCGGGTCGAATATAGTTTCCAGACTGCAACTGGTTGAAAATAGGAATCAAGCAGGCCAAACCGTCAAAACCGTTCCTAGTAGCGCCCCCGCTTAAGGCCTGACTGCAGATGAGAATCGAGAGGCGAAGACACTACGAGTTTGAGCGAGAGAGTCCAGAGAAAGGATCAGAGAACAGAAGGACCAGCGAGACAACACAGACGACTTCGCGCCAGGGCTCGTCGTACGTTGAGGATCCAGAACAAGGTGGTATTTGGTTGCCGGAGGGAAGGGGGTCGTACTTGCCTTGTGAGAGATGTGTTTGTTTGCTGACCCTTCTCGGTTTTCCCCCTTTCACATGCGCTATACACATGTACATATACCCCCCTAGGCCAATGGCACTTCCTTGGGAAAAACTGGAGTATGCGTCTAGGTATATATATCTCTCTTCAGTATGTTTCGAATGAGTGGTCGTTGTGCGACTGACACTACGTTTAGTAGATTAAGCTTTTGGGGACATGTGGTAAGTAGTGGTCTCGTACCAATATGAGTAGAGTGAATTTTTTCGGATGGACTGTGTTGAAGTGTGATGGGGCGTGTGAAGGATTTTCTCGGTTAAGTTGGGTGCGAAATTTTTCGTCCCGTCAGTGCGCGATCGAGGTTGGGTGTGTGGCTGTATCCTACGTTGAGATTACAGATACACATGAAGTATACCTGTCCCCGTGTTATATCTGTCCGCGTAAAGGGTTGAGCGATGCTGGTGCTTGTTACTGTTGGCTTGTGAGTCTATACTATTGGAAATGTGGGCCGTCAGCTTGCCGGCACCCGTCTCGAAGCGCAATGCTATATCGTTTTCACCAGTTGCAGACTGCGCATCCAGATAAGGAAGAAAAACGATGAGGAATTGTGCCTCACGACAAGAAAGCGCCGTGTCCTCTGAAGCCGTGCAATTTCGCTAATTTTGAACCTACAAACATTTACCACCCAGAAACGAAATACTCAGTAAGTAAAAGCTCACCCATTGCCATATTAGCAGCCACAAGTTCTTGATATCCATGCACCTTTGCAAAATACTTTTTGCTTTCTTCTTTTCGATTGTACTTGATACACGCTTTGATGAAGGGCTGCAAATTTGATCACTTTTTCTTTTCTTATTATTTATACATCAGAGAGCTCTAAAGACCGGTGCGGGGTTTTGTGTTATGCATTAGAGAAACCATTGGATGAGTGGCGAGCGGATTGGTTCGGTGTGGGCGTGTGATTGTGGAGGAGTCTTTCATATTTTACTGATGTCTAAGTTGAGTTTGGCGTTGCACGCGAAGCATTGGTTCGGGCGCCTTCAAGAAAGTATTGGGTATCGATCTATGTTCGTGCGAGTTTTTTTATGCGTGGCTAATGTGTCCGGCTCGCAAAACCTGACTGCAGGGATGCCGTTTATACGCCGAACTTTTTTCTCTAGGACTGTTGTTGTTTTCCGTTTGTTTGCACCCAACATCGATACGCCAACATACTGTAACTGTGCCAGTGGAGCGTTACTCGAACACTTAATGATCGTTAGACGTCATTTGTGGCACTGGTAGAGGATCACGATTTATTTGTCATAACATGTAGGACTGGCGTGCTTTCAGATTAATCGTTGTTAGATGAACGTTAGATCCAATTTACTTTTTCGAGCGATGTATAGCTGGTGGATCCTGTCGCCTATAGGTCGCGCGGCGAGTATTTTCTCCGTTTAAGTGAAGGCGACTATCAGTTCCATCTGACGAATCTGCGTATAACTATTCTACTTTCGATCTAGCCACTCGACTCACATAACCAACTGAGATTCTTCTGGGCCATGTCATAAGTTGCTGCCATCTTACTCGCGATGCTGTTTTGCCAAACCTCTATGTATGTTGTCCGAGGAGCTCAGACTATGAAAAAGTTAAGTATGCTTGTAATACGGTTCTGTGATTGTGGTGCGCACATTTATCATAGATTCTCTTTGGGAGTAGTCAATTTGGCGCTTAATTCACAGTCCATTCACATTGATATAATGTGGTCTGAGATAAGCAGACCTGTCACTACAGGGATAAAACTTGAGCAAAAAGCAAACGAAAAACTGAAGCGCATGATTTAAAGATCACCGAGTTGAAGTCATATCCTGCAACTTAGGAAGAGTTCGCGTAATACGTGGGGGTGTTGTTGCGGCAAGCAGCACGAACTACTACACTTATGGCTTAAACCCCCGCATGTAATTCTGGTGCCACCCCCCCGCGCCACCACATCAACCAAGCCCTCGTTCCCTTTCTCCGGGGTCTGCTGGTTAGTACGGAGCTGCCATGCGAGTAAACGGAAACTGATCGAGCTGAGCCCGCTTGCAATTTTATAAGCCAAGCCAAACCAAGCATCTTCCGCGACAGTCATGTGGACGGGACATTCGGGCGTTGCGCTTCCCTGAAAAGATGTCTGCGCGCGGCCGTTGCCTACTATCGGTATTTATAATGATATACACATCAATAATTTCATATTATTAGCTCTCAGTCGCGTTTTCTCTGCCAGAGTCGTGTTAAGGAAAGATATCGCGTGCTTGTGCTGTCACTTACTTCGCGAATTTCGTTCGAAGGCCGATTTTCAAAAACTATGCACCAGTAATGCTACTACTAGCCTCGGACTCCGGAGACAAGATGTCAAACAAACAAAGGAACGAGGTAGAGTCTTGAAGAGTTTAGACTTACGGCTTAATCGTGAAGTTTCGCTGAATGTTAATTGACTACTTTCTGAGGATCAAGCGGCGAATCGGATGACTGTATCACGAAATAGTCCATCTGTCTTTGTCCGCGCGTTTTCTGATTGTCTGGGGCAAATTCTGCCTTAAATACACAGAAAATTTCGTCGTGTAAGAACAAACAATTTGAAAAATCAGTAGTCACTAAAACTTCATGTCATTCAACAGTTCCTCTATCCCCTTATCTCCCATGTTACGGGCAGATTCTTTTGCTCTTCTAAGATAGTTTAATCGCTCGGCTGGCTGAAATAAGGAATAGAATTGAAAGAAATGAAAAAACATAGGAAATTTCAGTCAGCGCTCATCGCTGGGAGGGGCATTTGCACTTCTAAAAAATCCTCGATTGCTAGTCCATGTTATCTAACAAATTGTAGCCTGGTGACACATGTAAACTCTTGTGAGGTAATGAAGTCACTTTGGTACAAGAATTCACAGGTTTTTGCAAAGGTGCTCCTTGCATACTTTGCTTAGCACCACTTTTGATCCCCTCCAGAGCCGGATACAGCACCGAAATTCGAAGTCCGCCCTAATACTGAGTCTAATTGCTGGCCTACAATGACCACTGGAAGACTATGAGTCCCCGTTAGCCGCCCCCTGAAGCTTCAAACTTACATTGAGCTCATTCTCAACAGCATCGAGATGGAACATCGTTTGGCGCTCAAAGTCGCTAGCCTGCTCCAGTAACGCGAGCATCATTTTACCGGATCCACATCACTTTTCTTCGCAGTATAAGAGGTCTTGATATAACAGGCAGCGCCGAGAACATGAGCCCAATAACTCAAACAATTGGAAAAAGTCCCAGCAAACAACTAACAAGTGGTATTTTACGGATGGCCAGCTCGTACTCGGCTCGCTTTTGTCCTTTCATGAGGTGCCGTACAACTTGGTGCATCAACTGCGGGCGTTGTGCTGCTGCTGCTCGAGTCAAAGCCTCTTGAATATCGCCTAGTTGCAACAACACTTGAACCTATAACATTTTGGAGTTGAGTGGAAAATTATGAGAGAAAGCTGATAATGGCTGTTCGGCTCAAGAGGGGCATATTGCAGCGGCTTGTAATTAATTCATATTCTCTTGAAGTAAATTAGACGTTCACCCTGATGACAAGTCTGTAGATTATGCCAACTGTAAACGAAGCTCGTGTTAATTAGATAGCTCAACAGTAATTTACAGGTCTCCGCAAGAGGCATCGGCAAGGATCGGAACCTTAATAATGTAACCACCAAACCGAACTGCACCCTGGATTCGTACCTGCTTCGAGTCATCTTTCTCCCTTGTGCGATCAAGCATCGAGCCGCGCCAACTTCCGAGAATGTGTTTGGCATCGCAATCGCAACGTCTTAGCCGCATCTACAAGTCAACTCGATGAGATTACAAGTGCAACACAAAGGAAAATAAACACAAGTAGACATCTGATTTTAAAATCATTTACCCGCAAGCGAAACATGGGGATAACACATCAGTTTCTTGGCGATTTTCTCATCCAACGCCTGCATATTGAGTTCAGATATATTTGATGAGGACGCCGCTTTATTGATTGTTCGTCGCACCTGAAATTTTCTTAAAGACACCTTGGAAAGGAAAGTGAAAGGGAGCAGTTCGGCTTGGGTAGGGGGGGGGAGACAGTCCATGGATGTGTGCATTGCTATACAACAGTTTGACAGGTATTCTTTACAAAAGTTGACAAGTAGCCTCTACGAACTTTAGCTGGTACAACTTCATGGCTCCACAAGATTTCACATGTCTCCACTTGATGGCTCGACACGTCGATGGGAAACAGCGAAAGTGCAAAAGCTCCCCCCCCCAGGACGAACTGCGCCAATGAAAGAATACGATCTGAAGACAAAATCTGAAGTAAACGCGAGGCTTAAATTACCCATTCTAGTAAGACGCGGTCGATTCCCTCTTGTTGATCTCTCTTTAACCATGAACATATTTCTGCCGTCAGTCCATAAGCACCAATGTCAATCAGACGATTAATTAAGCAAGACTCTCCTAGTTCTTGAAATCTGAAGATGTGATACGTTTACGAAGGGACCTGAGTAAGAGTAAATACTGTTGTAACCAGAACTGCAACAGAAAGTTTTAAGAAAAAAAATTAGGCACCACCGCTCTCTAGAGTGCGTTCGTACTCTGCGTCAGCGTCTTGAGCATAGACCGGTGCTTTAAGCGTGAGCTAGCGTTTTCGGTATCTAAGAAAGTGTAGGTATAGTTCCAGCGTTATGAGTACACAATGGTGCACAATGGGGTCGTCCGAGACGCTAGATCGATACCTATACTTTCCTAGTAGCTCAGAACGCTAAATCTTTCGAAGTATATTCCATCTCCTCTCATCTTGAAACCTCGGCATGGTTCGATTTGTTGTGATCTTTTGTTGTTGCCACGAGGTTTTTAGGTGGAATATTTATTCGGCCAACGTTCCGACCTTTTCGTTGTCTTCAAAGGCCTAAAATGGCTCAAAGCTTCAGAATACACTACCCCACCAAACGCCTGGGCCCCTCTAGCATTTATGGCATCGTGTCAGGAGCATGCAGGATAAAAGAAGTGGCCGAATAAATGTTCCACCTAAAAACCTCGTGGCAACAACGAAAGATCACAGCTTAAATCTCTGCCGTACGTTTGAAACGGTGACGCAAAGTACGAACACTCTCAGCGTTCCGGTCCTCGCGACTTGTCCTTGATTTTTCTAAAAATTGGTTCATGGAGCAAAGATAGTCGCAAATTGATCCCTGTACGTAGTTGGGAACCCTGAACACTAATATCTCATCCTTGTGTTTTGAAGGACAATTGACATCTGGGGTGACTACTAGCCAAATTCCTAAAAATTTCAAATTACCGGTTTCACTATAGGAAAAGTGAACCGAAATAGAGTCCTAATAAAAAGGCGAAAAAGACGCAGATATTTGTTTTCTTCATTCTTTATCGAGAACTGGGGTGGGTATTGCAGTGACTAGTTTCGCCGCTAACTATGCTAGCGGTGCGGGGGTCAAATCTTCAACAGCTCCTCGGACCAACGAAGCCATGTATCATGCCGAGGCCGAGTTTGGCATCGCACTAGTCTGGAAGACAAAAACAATGATTGCATTGTTTGTGCCTCATAAGTCAGTGTATAGGAAAAATCGCGCTGAATAAGTCACAGACACGACTTTATTCGTAAAAAAGTAGGTGCTGCATCTCGAAAGAGATTAATCAATGGCAAGAGCTTTATACATTGAACTCTTGGTCTTATCCAATCTTGTTGTACAGGACGGATCGAACAATGGTGAAAGAGTCCAGTGTTTATAGAAACAGGCCCGATTCCTCAGACTCAGTGTAACTACAAGCCAACACCCCGCCTCTCACCCGGTCTGATGAAAAGAGGTATACTCGAAATCCCTGAGATCGGGTAGGCGTGGCTGCGCACTTGATTTTAAAATGGCGTCGGCCCAGGTTTTCGTGAGATATTGTCATTTCGGAGCAGTCGTAATCATGTCTACATATAGCACAGAACAAGATAGCAGTTGTTGCAAATTGAAGCATCCCACGAGAAGACCCGTCCTATGCCATGCTCAAAAGCCACGCCTACTCCGTCTCAGGGAATAAAGGAAGTGTATTTGCGAACGGTACATGAGAGCAATTAATGGCCCCCGGAGGGCCCCAGACAAAAAAAAAAAACATTGTGTATATTCAACCGTAAGATTACGTTAATCTTAGAGTCGAAGCAGTTTTAAGAGAAGGTTCTCAACTTACTGGGAGTAAGTGATAGGCATGCCTATCCGTCCACGATGTACTTCATTTAGAACCCTCAGCTCTCGAAGGAATCGAGCAAACCGGTTAGAGTCATAGCCATTAGAGAAGGCCATACCAAAATGGGCAGCCTAAACAAAGAAAGGTAGGTAGCCATGTGCATTTTTCAAGTAGACAGTATAAGACCTTTAATAAAGCCTTCTGTAGTTCCGGGGACCACGCTGATGACGCCGTGGAGATGCACTGCTCAATAGCCAGCGATAGATCACGAATCTAAACTATAGGGGATTAAAATTGGTGACAATTCTAGAGAATGAAAGGGAACCTGATCAGCAATGTACACCTCACCTGCATAGCGTACTCGTATGACTGATGGCTTTTGTTGGTGTTCAGCCATTGTGCCGCTTCGTACAGTAAAGCACCATCTGAAGCCGATGCTACTCCCAGAACAGCGCGCTCATCACCTGCAAATCTGAAAATAAGGGCGCGTCTTTACCTTGCGACTGAAGAGATTCTGCGCCTGGGAGTACGGTGATCTGGATGACTCGGGGATTCAAGAGACAGCCCGACAAGAAAGGCATAAGTATCGATCTAGCGAGTGCGAGAATCGGCGATCCGGCGCTTTGGCTGACTTGATGTTCCGTGCGATCGCGCGCTAAAGGAGGGGATGGGAATCGATCCACGCCGGATCGCAATTCTTCCTAATCGCCAGATCGATAAATATACTTCCCTTGGTCGCGCGATTTCTCGGAATCGCCGAATTTCTCAGTCGCAAAGTATGAACGCAGCCCAAAACACAGATCGCGCAACAGGGTCCAGCGTTTAGAAGAAAAGCACGAATCCGAACTCTACTCACGAGACACTGTGCTCACGAACTCCATTGCTCCTTCCGTGTAGAGTTTGATTCCATCGGATTCGACACCAATCTCTGTGAACTTGGTTTGCAAGCTGAAACAATTTCAATGATAATTGCGGAACATCGTCACTATTAATAACTTTGTTAGTAATTCACAGTTCAGTATTTGAAAGCAAAAATATGGATCGGCATCCCGAATGTTGGAGTTTGTTGATAGCAGCGTTCAGACTCCACGATTGCGCTGTGCCGCGCTTCTACCGCGACCGCTCTTCAATGCCACAGGAGCGAACGCAGCCTTAGACGGATATCGACTGATGCCGGCCGCTGTTGCTTCGAGAGGTTAGTGAGCGCAGTAGCGTAAGCATTGCGTGATCACAAATCTGGTACCCTTCTATTCTTCTATGCTCTCCCGAAACACTAGCAATCGGCAGCGGTAGGTGCCAGACTACGTGATTAGGCAATCGGTACCCCCTTAGTCTCCCACATTCTTTTGAAGCAGCAGCGGCCGACGCCGATTAATACAGTCAATGGATCCGTTAATGTCTGCAGCGCAGTTGCAACCGCACCACGTCGCCCGCTGAAGCGCGTCATCGCGAAGTCTGAACGCTGCCTTATTTGCCCGCCCTAAAAATTAGGTTCAAGGAAGAAGTACAGGGAAGTGTGGGGAAAACACAGCTCAGAGGCTGTCAAGGAAAATGCTATGTCACTGTTCAATACTGAGCAGCAG